CTAAACCCTAAACCCTGGACCCGTACCTCACTTTCATGGTCGGAGGATTTGGAGGAGTTGCCAGGGTCCTAGCGGATATCCAGCTCCAAACCCCAAACCCGGGCTTGGAGCTTAGGCTCACGCGGGGCCTTTGCTTTGGTTCCGAGTGAAAAATGCTCGCAGAGATACATTGTGCAACATCCGTGGATCTTTTGCTTTGTACAGTTGTTGTGGATCCTAATGATCGGAGTGATTTTGGAGGGTCCCCTGTTGAGAGACCCGCATTTTGGGTCATTCTTTGGTCATTTCATTGCTTGGTAACACCGCTATCAAAGAGCCTAAACCCTAGACCCTAAACGTGAATCCTAAACCCTAAATCCTAAGCCCTGAGGACCCCTGGTGATTATGGAGAACGTGAAGTTCCCCACGTACGGCCTGGGTCTGAGGGGCAGGTGCAAGCAACCTTGTGGGATTTCAACCCGTCTACTTACTGGTGGTTAGTAGGGGAATAAGGCGGAATACTCCCTATACACTCCCCGTATGATATATTCCCTTATGCACCACCAAACCCCAGTAGGTCTGGGGCTTGTCAGCTCTGCAACTAGTTGGTTTATTCAGATTCTGCTCCCAGAGCTTTCTGTTTGGGGTGCAGAGTTGCCCAAGAGTTATACAGAAGATTCGTTGATCCTTCTACTTACTGGTGGTTAGTAGGGAATAAGGGAACAAACCCCGGTATAATCCCTATATAGTATGTTCCCTCATGCCCTACTCACCCGCATTACGTCAACCTCTGGTGGCAGCAATCCCTGTTGTGAGAAGCCCCTGAACATATCGGTGAACTTAATGCCCTGTCTTTCTTCTTCTGCAATCTTACTCTAAACCCTAAAGCCCTAAACCCTAAACCAGTAAGCCCCTAAACCCCTAACCCTACAGAGAACCATATTTGTTTCTTGCTTTCCCGCTGGCTCTGGTCTGAGGGCTGAAGGAATAGCAGCAATGCCTTATGGTGGTGTAAATATTAGCAATAGGAGTAATAGTAATAGTAGTAGTAATAGTAATAAAAAATAGTAATAGTACTTGTATATAGTAGTAATAATTATAGTATTAGTAAGCGTAATAAGAATAGTGATAATACTGGTAATGATAGTAGTACTTCTTATGAGACAGGTTCTTCAGTGGTTCAGGCAGCAAAGAAGTTATTCATGTAATCCATAGCGCCCCATAAGACCCCAGTTTCCATTTCATTCTCCATTTGATGTCCATTTTATTCTCCGTTTTTTGAAGATCATGCCTACACCGTAAACCCTAAACCCTACACCTTAAGCCCTCATCCCTAAGCCAAAAACAACACTACTAAGGTGAGATTGTCAATGTCAATTTGTCGGTGGGGAGCTGAGCTGCGCCGCATCCTGCAGCCTTCACTTGCCTTCGGGTCGAGGGGTTTAGGGTTTTAGGGTTTAGGTCGGAATTAACCCTAGGGGCTAGGGTTAAGTATGGGCTTAGAATTTACCCTTTGGAATTTGAAAGTCTCAGAATTTCCAAGCCTCAGTTTCAGGGTTTAGGGCTCATGTCGGATTTGGTGTTGAGTTTTCGGGCAGGGGATCGTTCACGGTCTAGGGGTATGCAGTTGTTGTATGCATCCTGGGCATGGGAATGAGGCCGTGGAAGTACATTACCTCTGGATCCTACTGGCAAAGCCTGCATAACTCCTCGACAACCATATCTCCTATGGTAAAACGCGCTTAGGGTCATACAGGACAGCTTCTCGCAGTTCCGGATACTGTCCGCTGCATTATGCTCCTCTTGGTAGCAGGGGAGCGTTGTATATTTCTACTTCTCCCCCGCCCCCCAAGCCCTAGACCCGACATCCGTCCCTAAACCCTAGACCTGCATCATCGATAACCCTGAACCATGCATAATGCGCAGTTGACTCAAACAGTTGTTTCGCTGCTGTGCTCCATAGCAAGCCACGAGCGGTGAGTTCAATCTCAGTCATGATCATGGCTTTTAGAGGGTTTGGGTTTAGGGTTTAGGGTTTAGGGTTTAGGGGGGGTGTAGGGTTTGGGGTTTGGAATGCAACCGCCATCACCAATGAGAAAAGCCCTGACCTTCAATTCTAAACCCACCGCATCCAACCCCCCAAACCCTAAGCCCTAGATCCTAAACCTTAAAACCCTAAACCCCAAACAGTAAACCCTATCCCGAAGAAGTTTCTATCTTTCACAAGATTGCTTGCTGCTATGAAGGACGGCACCGTGCGTCAGGGCCAGATTTTGGAGGTGAACAAGAAGAAGGCACTCCTGGAAGATGGGGATTTGGGGGTTCCAGATTAGGGGTTTACCGTTTAGGGTGGGTTGAGGGGTTTCACGTTTGGGGTTTTGGGGTTTGGGCCTTGGCATTTAGGGTTTAGGATTTGGGGTTTCGGTTTTTGGATTTAGTTTTTAGGGTTTGCAGTAGAATTTGGGAGCTTCAGGAGGGCAATCATGGCCTCTGCAGCCAGGCCATCGTGCAGGTGTTCGAGGGAACCAGCAACATTGACAACAAGCTCCGAACTCAGAAAGCTTTGGGACATGGCATCTCAACATTAGGGTCCTTATCAATGATGGGAGTTTGTACCACATGACCCATAGTCTAAACTCCTTAAAGGAGGTTATATAGGGGATTATATAGGGGACTACTATAGGGGTTATTAAGGGGGATACTAGGAGTTTAGACTATAGCTCACATGACGTGTGGCTAGCTTGAGACGCAGCAGCATTTGCAATGTTGTTCATTGTCTCCGTGCTTTCCAGCCTGCATCCTAGGGGCTTGAATGATTAGGGTTTAGGGTTTAGGGTTTAGGGTTTATTGTAGTCCTAGATCCTTTGGTGAAATGACGTATAGGGTGCCTCAGGGAGACCTCAACATGGGTGGTTGTTAAAATCATGGTCCCTTTTTGGATCCCTATTATAATACGGCAACTAATACCTTTTTCTCGAGACCCTGAAGCTGGGGCTCCAATCCCTGAAGGTTTAGGGTTTAGGGTCTGAAAATGTTTCTTCCAGAAATTAGGGCTGCCTTTACAGGGGTTATAGGGCATACATAAGGGAGATCTAGCGTTTATATAAATAGGAATATATAGGGTTTCGGGTTTAGGGTTCCCCAAAATCAAAGAATAGATGTTGGGGTCGATATTGGGTCCCTTTATTTATGGAAACTACCAGATGCTATAATCCACTAGTAAGTAGGTTCATGGACCTCGACAAAATTGGCTTCATAATGGTAAGAAGTACGTATACGAGCACATCTTAAACCATGCAGTTCATACTAGAATCATCGGATGCAGATCTTCCTGTATACGCAGCCGCCCGAAGACCCTCAAACCCTGAACCGCTGGACTCCATGCTGCGCCGACACTTTGCAGAAGTGTTCACTGGACAGTCTTTGCAGCGTAGGGCTTAGGAAAAGTAATCCACTTTTCGATTAGGTGGGGTCTAGGGTTTAGTGTGTAGGAACCCCCGACCCTGTAATGGTTACTATAAGGGATAGTGGTCATGGTATTAGGGTCCTGTCATATTCCTATTATACCACTATTACAGGGTGGGGGGTCCACCTAACACGTAGGAAGTAGGTAACAACCTGCTATAATCCATATAGTCTTCCTAGTTATCCCAATATGAACCTACTTACTGAGTCCCCCTGACTCTTCAATTTGTTCAGCCTGTGGCTGCCGAGAGTCTTAAGCTACTTTTCTGGACCGAAGGAAGAAACTTGGGGATGAGGGCTTGGGGAAATGTAGGGATTTAGGGTTTATAGGGTTTGGGGCACTAGGACTTTAGTATCCCGCAGGCCCAAAGGCCCAAAGGGATCCACCAAGATGTGAACATGTCTTTAAGCTCGCTACGCACCATCTTGGTTGTAAAATTCCCGGAAGACTTGAAATAAACTTGGCCCAGCTCATGCGCTAGATGTCCATGATGCTCCTTCTAGACATCTTCGGCGAAACTGAGAAGTACTTTGTGATGCATGTTCTCTTCTCACAGCAGCCTGTTGATGTCCTCTAAATGTGCATTGAGTGCTAGACACAAGCACCCAAAGCATAAGCTCCAAACCCTTAAGCCGACATGCTTTCTGTCAAAGGGAGTGCCAGTATCGATTCCTCGAAAGGAAGTATCCCAAGATCTCAAGCCAAAGACCTGAGTCCCACGCCATAAGCCCTAAAGGCCCTAAATCCCAAGCCCACTCCCTCAGCCTCAATCTTACATGGGTGGTTGTCAAAATTATGGTCCCTTTTTGGATCCCTATTATAATACGGCCCCTAATATTTTAGGGTCCCTTTTACAACCACCCACATCCTAACTTGCAAGGCACTGCCATATCGAGTTCACCGGTGACACCCTGAAGATGCCAATCTCCGATGACCTCATGGGCTCCTAGGTGGCATTCGGTTGCCAGTTTTGGGGTTTAGGGTTTAGGGTCCCCCCCCCATTATTGGGGTTATATTGGGATTATATTAGGGTTCTATTGGGGTTATATGGGGTTATATTTGGGTTATATTGGGGTTATGTGGGGGTTATATTAGGGTTATATCGGGGTTATATTAGGGTTATATCGGGGTTATATTAGCCTGGCGCTAAGGACTTTTGCCTTCGGGGCTTCCTAAAGTATACTGGGGAGGCTAGATGCTTAACTTGTGGGGGGGTCCTACAGTCAGCTAAGTTTTAACGTCCCTCATTGTTTTAGAAGGGAACTTATTCACACATAATGTTTGGGGACTCGTAAAGCACCCCCAGGATGGTCTTGTCAGTGATAGCGCAGTCAGCTAGGCAGGAAAACATCCCATATGTAAAGAGGTCCTGATCTGCAGCTACTCATAGGTATCATTAGGGATGACGGTAGCCTGTCCCACCTACTGTAGGTGGAGGAAATCTCAAGCAATCTGAGTACCTCCTATTCTGAAAAGTCCCGTGAATTCGGGATCTTCAGTGTCGCAAGATCCTCTCTACTTGCCGAAGGTCCTCAGTGACCGCTCTGAAACAATTGTTTGGGTTCCAACCTTGGTCGCTTTGGAGAGGGAGGTAGTTTTTGAAAAAGGATTCCCAAGAGAGTTTGCGGCTACCTTTTCGGGCTGTTGATTTTTGCAGATAGCTATATGTGCTCCGTTCAAGTTCAGGGTCACCACGTAACATGGAAGGTTGAATTTTTGGGAAAATCCACATGCCCCCAAAATTTTTAACCTTGGTTTTATGCGCCTACAGTTGGGCTCCTGCAATAGGCGGATGAACCCTCAACCCTAAACCCTAAATCCTCAAACCCTAAATCCCTGAAACCCTAAATCCCTAAACCCTAAACCCCTAGACTTCCCCAGAAAATTCCTAAGCAGAGGGTGATTGATTGCCTCCCAGGCCGAGCCTTCAACGGCTCCGGCAAGCCCATTGACAAGGGGCCAGGAGCCCAAATAGGAGTTTCTCTACGTTTAGGGACCCCACCGGTAGAGAGGGGATCATGTAGAAGGGAGGGTATAGGATTCCTTTTAGGGAGTATGTGCGGCTAATTTTCGGGTTGCTTGTGCTTTGTTTCTTTCCGCTTGAAAGGGGATGGCTGCTGCAAGGCAGGCAGGCTGCTGCCTGACTTAGGATTTGCCTTGCAGACGTGGAGAAAGGCTTCTGCGATTTGCTGTCTTGCTTTTGTTCATAGAGTTGAGAGTTGATAGCACCTTGGAACACACGGCGAGGGAGATTACAGATTTCACAGGTTCTTCAGCGCATGATTGCTAGGCCCGGAGCCATGCCATTGCTTTGCACAATGTGGAATTCTTCCCTTTCTTTCAAAAGGGTGCAAGGTAGAACGGCTGAGAACACGTAAGAAGCTGCGGGCATGGCAAAGTATGCCTGCTTCTAGATATGCGTGGAACTGCACGTCAGGTGCCAGCAAGAACTCCAATGTCCGAATTCTCAGGGTAATGCCACCCGGTTCTAGAAACTAACCAACTGATCACCACCACATACAACCGCCACCAGCAGAAGACATGCTTTACAGGGAAGTGGGTTTTCCAATCCAAGCAGTGACCACAAAGCATAGATCCTACCATGCTCTCTGAAGTCCTATTTCCGACCAATCCCTATCATATGGAGTCCTCAACCATTACCAATATAGTGGTCCCAGATTTTCTGGTTCAATGATGGTATAGTAGGATAGCGTGCTTCTAATAGACCTCCAAATGACATTTGTAATCATCTAGGCCCCTCAAGCAAGCTGTACAAAGCTTCCTCAAAAAGCGTAAGCCGCCTCTGAGCCGCAAAGCCCCAAGACCACTTAGGGTTCTGGGTTTAGAATTTTGGGGTTCAGGGTTGGGTTTGGGGTTCAGGGCTTAGGTTTTCTACAAGTACAACACTCAAAAAACATATGATGACAAGGTTTGGTATGCTATCGGCACTTTACACGCCTATAATGAATAGTTCAGTATCTGAGGATTCATATTGGGATCCCCCAACGCATGGAAGCTACCCTAAACCCTCCAACCCGCCCTAAACCCTCAGCCCTAGGCCCTAAACCCTAATGTCTTATCCCCTTAAACCCTAAGCCCTACAACTTCAGCCCTAAAACCTAAACCCCAAGCCCTAAACCAGAAACCCGAAACCCTACAACTATCAGGCCTACCGTCCTGGCGGAGGACTTCCTGGACATCAACGGAGCCCCGCTGAATCCGAAGTGGCCTGACTTTGCGTTTGGGGTTCAGGGATTAGGGTATAGGAGTCAGGGTCTGGATTCCAGGGCCGTCTTGCGAGGGGAGTAAGTAAGCGGAAGTTTCCATAAATAGGAACCCCCAAACATAGACCACAATATCTTTTGCTTCTTATTATAGCACGCAAAAAGAAAACGCTAATTTATGGAACCCCCAAGTATGCGCGTCCAGTCGGGGATGACTGGGGTTATCATATGGCTTAGAGGGCCTGCAAGGCTACTTATACATACATATATATATATATATATTCACCCCTATATACCCTATATACCCCTCTATATATATATATATCCCCTATATACTCCCTATATATCCCCTATTTACCCCGATATATCCCCTATTTATCCCCAAGTGCTCACTAAGAAGTAGCAGGGAGGCCTTGTCATTCAGTCAAGGCGGGGCTCATGCCTCGCACGACACGTGACGGCTAAGCTAGGGTTTAGGGTTTAGTGTTTAGGGTTTAGGGTGTAGGGTGCATCTATATAGGGCTTACGGTTTAGGGTTTAGGGCAACTGCCCCCAAAAAGCTTCCAATTTAGCAAAACCATAGTCCTTCTTGCTATAGGGGCCGCCATTGAAGGGAACCCTCCTTTAGGGGAGCCGGTCTGACGACTCCGGGTTGGGTTTTGACTGGCATGCGTACCAAAATGAGGCTTGGTTGTCATTGACCCTGAGGATATGAGGGTTACATAGGGGTTATCTGGTAGTTAGGTAGGGGTAGGGTCCTTACAACGAGGATTCGAGCAGATTGAGATCCATATTGGGAGTGTTATTGAATCTTTATATGACTACGAGTGGCACTTGAGTGTTCACGCATGGACGCTCCTGCGTTGCGTGGCAGGCGCGAACATTTTTCCTTCTCCCAATAGAACCCCAATATATAAAGCATAATCCCTAACCCCTATAATCCCTATAGTTTCCATTTTCTTTTCCATTTTCCCAATATAACCCCGACATAAAGAAGGGTTCTCCGTCATCCATCCCAACTGGTAGGATCAGACGCAGCTCGCAACTTCCAGGATCCCTAGCATCGAAAGGAATGTTTAGGTTTTAGGTTCTAGGGCTTGGGTGTAAGGTTTTAGGGTTTAGGCGGATAGTCAATCTCTGTTTTACCATCAACGTCGTCAGTTCGCTGATCATCATGGTGATTCATTATCGCTATCTCCTTGTTGTTATCTCCTGTTAACAGCCATATTTTGAGTCATAGTACTGCTTAGTGTAGACGCCTGAAGGACCAGCTTCAATAGCCCCTTGCCATCCGTCTGTCGGAACCCTCTACAAGTAGCTGAGGTTTTCTGAACCCTTAAGCCTATTCCCTTCCCCTGAACCTTCAATCCAAAATCCTAAATCCCAAGCTGAAGGCCCGAACCCCTAAGCCCTAAACCCGCAGATTTTAGGGTTTTGGGTTTAGGGTTCAAGCCGCTCAAGCCTCAAAACCTCCTACTTGTGCTCAGGTCCCGGGTCTACCCCAAGGAGATGATTCAGCCGGGGCCTGGAGATGGTTTAAAGGGGTTCTGCAGAAACCTCAAAAAGGCTTCTTTTGTCTGTTGGGTTGCTTGTGAGTATACACTGCGTTCTTTCCTTAGGAATCTTTGTGGGTTTATCTATGAGATGTCCATTTGGAAGACGAAAATTGAAATCCCAACGCAATTGTCCCGTGTAAAGGCTTACCGGACAGCCGACACTACTCTGAGTACAGCGTGCAACTGTTCCGGGTTTCAAAGGGGAATTTGCCAGCATCTAAGTTTCCAGGGTAGCTCTTAGGATTAAGGTTTAGGGTTTAGGGTGCGACCTTTTCATCTTCATATTCCAGCTCGTTGCTTGGACTAAGGCATGGCATATTTCTCAATTCTCAGTCGCTTCATTGTCATGGGCGCCTGAAAAAGGCTTGCAAGACTACTCTGCTACTTTGAGCTTCTGGAGCAGATTCTAGATAACCGCCACAAATCAGTATGTCCTATTATATATAGGTACTATCTTGAGCGGTTGTATATCATTATTATCCTCATTATTAATATTGTTATCATGAATATTATCAGTACTGCTATTCTGAATTACTAGGATCATTTGACATGCTTATTGTACTTATAGTCCGCGTAGGTAGATAGAATATGGCTTTGGGCATACTATAATAAGATCCCCATATATCCCATTTTCTATCTACTTGAGGGGGATTAATACCCTAAACCCTAAACCATCCTAAACCCTTAGCCCTAAACCCTTAAACTTGAGGACCGGAATCAGTGCCATCGACACCATGAACTCCGTGGTGCGAGGGCAGAAGTTGCCCTTGTTCTCGGCCTGAGTCCCGGAGAGCGGGGATTTTAATGTTTAGGGTTTGGGGTTTAGGGTTTAGGGACTTCTTTCCGCTCTACTGTACGGCTGCGAGTATTTCGGGACGTAAAAACCCTAAATCCGAAACGCTGAACCCCAATTTTGGAAAGCTGCGCCCTGCACATTCGACCCCTAACACCTTGAACCCCAATAGCAAACGGTTTTCCTATATACACGCGACACCAAACCCTAAACGCATAAGTTCCCTATGTAATCCCCAGGAGGAACCCTCTTGATGCGGAGAGTTTTGAGAAACCTCCCATATGCGACATCCAAACGATAGAAGCCTGGCTTAAGGTTTAGGGTTTTCAAGCCTAAATGATGATACAGATTGTCCGCATATATCCGTTTATAATCCTTAGATACCATTTAGCAAGAATTTCCGCCAAATGCTGTTGCATTCATGTAAGGGCCCAAAGAATGGCTGTATCATTATGGTTGGAGGTTCCTTGCAGAAGTGTGGATAGGGTACCTACGATAAACCTCAACATGATGTTGCTAATTATTTAGACACGTACAGTAAGCCCCCCAAACCCTACACCTAAACCTTTTCTACCCTCATACAACCCTCTAGAACCCCTATAGCCTCCCTGAAGGGCCCTAAACCCCAAACCCTGAGCCCTAAACCCTAAACCACTAAACCCTAAACCAGTAAACCACTAAACCCCAAACCCTAAACCACTAAACCCTAAACCCTTAAACCCCAAATAAACGCCTGTCTCTTGAGGCGGCTGGTCTGCCGCACAACGAGATTGCCGCCCAGGATCGATATGGGGGGCTTCCGATTTCTTTACCGTTTAGGGTTATTAGGGTTATAGGGTTTAGGGTTTAGGCTTAAGCCCTGAGCCGTAAACCCTTTGGGGGAACCCCTGCGGGTTTCCTAGAAGGGCTTATGTAGAAAAATATAGTGCAAGGGATGAGGTGAAGGTTGAGGGTTCGAAGTTCCTCAAAAATCCGGGTATTCTGGAACCCTAAACTTAAACCGCGTTCATGAGGCATTCAGGATTCGGTTATGGGGACTTACAGTCTAGTCTCCTTAGGGATCTTTTTTCAATTTTAGTGTAGTATACACTGGGGAATTTTGAAAAACCATATTTTCATCATAGGTTTAGGGGGGTTGCAGCCGAAGGGCTCAGGGTTTGAGAATGTTCGCAGTTTACGGGGCTTTGGGATGCAGAGGGATTAGCTTGGAGGGTTGCTGATGGGTATGGCTTAGGGCTTAAGGTCTCTAGCCAGAAGTGGCTACATCCCGGAGTTCACCCAAAGAACATGGTCAGAACGGCCCTGAAATGCATGTTTGGGGTTTTGGGTTTTGGGATCCGAAGCTACAATTGGTAGTTTCCCAAAATAAGGGGACCCCAATATAGACCCCAATATATTTTAATCCTTGTTCTGGAGACCGCCAAGAAAGGGCCCCCCAATTTTGAGAAACTCTGAACCCTCATCCCTAAACCTTATATAATCCTATGTAACCCTATATAACCCCTATAACCGCTTTTAAAAGTACACCCCCCCCCAATTTTCGGAAACCCCAACTCTCTGCGAGACTGATAGCTTTACTTGGCGTCTTTCTCCAAACTTCCTCATGACTATAGGGGCCTCCAAAATTGTTCTCTAATACACCCAAAAATTGAATCTTTAGAAGGGTTCCGAGGCCGGTTTGGATGATTCACGCCCACATAGTTGATGGGATCCTGATGTCTACTGGAGGAATGGAAAATCCGAATCCGGCAGTCGTCAAACTACAGTGGATCGACAGAAGTCTGCATAAGTCTAGGTACCCAAACAGTCGGAATCATGGTTTCGTAGTACACTTGGGGTCCCGCAGAATTTTGTTCATCAACAGTATGACCTTTTTGATTTGAGGCCTGGTCTTGGAGGTATTGCATGTCCGAAGAAGCGGCAAAAGTGCCCAGCGTGCTGCCACCCACGTAAATGCTGGTAGGCTACGAATACTTTCTACTTCCCGTTCGCTCTTTCTCATTGCCTTGGGTGAAAGTACCCTAAACCCTGCACCCTAAACCCTAAGCGCTTTGGGGTGTCATGCTTTCCGAGGCTTCCAGCATTGCTGGATTTGCTCCAATCTTGTTGTTAGCTGCTGCTTGCAGGTGTGCCGACAGGCATCGCTGGTCAAGGGAAAGGATGTGCCAGACCTAGTCAGCCTCGTAATGAGGACCCCCCAAAATCCCTTGCCATGTATCCTCAGGGTCCCCATATGCCCCCTCATGGTGATATAGCAGCAGCAGCTTCAATGATGATGGGTGTCATTGCCACTCAGCTCTCATTCCATCTCCATCCTGTTAATTTTTTTTCGTTCCGCCCGCAAGCTGATTCAGCGATGATAGGGAAACGATTTGTGAGTGCAGCTGAAAACATCACCGCTGGACTGAGTTCCAATACTGTGAATCATTATAGGACTTGCCTATACAGAGTTTCTACAATGTTTATGTAGTGTATTGCCAGAAAATGGAGAGTCCAATGGAAAAGAACATGGAACATGGCATGTAAACTGCTCTGTTGTTGCTGCTACCTGCCTAGCCGAAACATGCTTTCAACGTCTATCAGCTGACAGCCTGACGTGGACATGTAACCCTGCACCCCAACCCTAAACCCCGAACCGTGCGCCCATAACGCTGAACACTGAGTCCTAAGCCTCGAACACTTAACTCTAAATTTGTTTCCCAGGTCATGGACCACACCCAGGAGAACTTCAGCATCGTTTTCGGTGCCATGGGCCAGGGAGCCTGATGGAGGGTTTAGAACGATTTGGGGTTTAGCTCTTAGGGTTTAGGATTCAGGGCTCAGGTTTTAGGCTTCAGGACTTGGGGTTCAGGATTCAGGGTCAAGGGTTTGGGGTTACTGTCTCAAAGCGAACATGGACATGTAGAGACTTGCCCTTGGCATGCTTCCAAGTTAGTTTGTCGGGAGGTTGTATTTTCAACCGGGAAGGTGGCCCGATGGGAAGGACTACTGGTTTACGGTTTAGGGTTTAGGCTGCGCGATGTTCTTTGCTAGGAGTTCTGTTCTTTTGCTGGGCTAGACACACTCAAGGATTCTGGCCTCTGGTGTGAACACGTTGTCTCCATGTGAACAGGCTTTTCTTCAGGTCTCCCGTGTGGGGCATTCGTTTGGGTTGTTTGGGATGGTACCTACCTAACCCCTGACCCTTAATGACTTCATGAAACTTAATCAGCATCAGCTAATCCCTGCACTCAATTTGCTGTATTGTAGATAGTCTATCTTGATGGCGTAGGTGATCTAATTAGCATGCTGTGATCCTTATTCTAGAGGCCCCTAAAAGGCCTGGAAACTTTGGAAGTCTCTCAGGTTTAGCCAGCCCTTTGAAATAAGCCTGCCAGCATGAAATCCTTGCTTCTTGCTGGAAGGGGATGTGGGATGGATCCCTATCATGACCCCTCCATACACATTCCGCGCAATACTACCCCTCCCGCATGCCAACCAGCAAGAAGCAAGAACGCGGCTTGACTGAGGTGTGAACATGGAGACAGCTCGATTCTTCAGGAATGATTTCGAAGAGAGCTGAACTCAGAGGTTTCAGGGCTCGGGCTGACGGCCATACGTCTGGCCGTGCAGGCTTTTCGGATTTCCGTAGCCCTAACTAAGCCCTGCAGGGCTATAGGTCTCGCAGCTTTGCTTAGCAAGGAAGCGTGATACCACCCTGCATATGGGGTGTTGTAGAATGTTGCTCGCTAGCAGCTTTCCCTCTCATAGCCTGTATGTAGCATAGCTTTCAATTATATGTCCCCATGCAGTGTGTTCCAATCCTTCTGAGGTGTTGCTGCCGCTAGTTTTTTGAAGCCAATAGTTCTAATATCTGATTTCGTGAACGCTAAGGCCGAGACGTAGGTTGCTGAACCGAACTCCTTAACCACCCTCCAATGGGGCGTCCCAGGTCTCTTCAGTGGGATTTTTGAAAGCTATTGTGTCTGCCACTAGACTCACTAGACTCCTCTTGACCCCTCCTTCGACATGCTGGTGATAAGACATGGACATCCGGGACCAGAAGAAGCACAGCTTGAGACAGTAGGGATGTGTCATAGACTGGACGACATCACCCGGTAATAGTGCGATGACATGAGGGCAGGATCAGATGTGCCTGAAGATTTCCCTATACCGGCAAGCGATCAGCAACATGTCCCTGTGACGTTTCAAAAAGTATATCGGAGAGAATGAGGGAGATTGGGTTGCTGCTTGCCACATCATGCAATACCAAATTCTTGTATTGATCCAGATGAAAGGCGTGGTCAGAATGGATTTTGCATGGGATTTAGTGTCGAAAAGGCAATGCAGCTTCTCAAATGCTCGGTATCCCAAGGAACGGTTCCATGGAAAACGTCGTGCTCTTCATGAACCTGGCAAACGCCAGCGTCTCAGTATTCATCATTCATCCATCTCAAGACGCCCCAAAGTCTCTACCTTACGCTCTCCACGGCAACCTCAGGCGCAAGGGTCATATCCTTACAGTGCCTTGCAAGCAAGCTGGACAAGATTCTAGGCTCAGTATCATGAGAGCTGCCTGCTTTAGATAGAGGCTTTCTGAAATTTCTGTGCTCCCTCATACTGAGGGACCCTGATGGTTTGCGGGTCTGGTGAAAAAAATTCAATTCATGTCAGATTGTGACCTATATCCCGCAATAGCCATTATTGTAGATGGCATTGGTGTACAGTGATATACGTACATAGATAATGAGCGTTGTATATTGGGAAGTAGGATTTGGGTCCCTTGCAGGAGTGCCTCTGGCAAGCTAAAAACCTGGACCAACCCTAAATCCCAGAAGGACTCAGCCTTAAGCCCTTAAGACGAAGCAAAACTTGCAATTACTGGGGCTCCCAGCTCTCATTCATGTCATTTCCCTTTTGTCAAGATCTCAAAGGCAAAAATAATTCCCCCAAGTTTAGGTGATCGTATGAAATCCTAAGCTAAGCCCTCAGCCCTTACCCTCAAACCCTAACGCCTACACCCTAAACGGTGGTTTCAAGAAATTGGGGGCCCCTTGAATACCCCAATTTACTACGGTCCGTATCATACGGAGTTTCAGACAGGGATCCTAATTTTCGGAAGCTTGGACATCCTACCTAAACCCGAATATATTCCCTATACAACCCCAATATAATCCCAATATAAACCCTGTAGTTGTCACTATATAACCACTATTATGCTACAGTAGTTTCCATGTTATTTTCCATGTTCTTTTCCATTACTCCCTCTAGAAAACTGTGAGGATCCCACCATCGAGCGTATCGTCACCCCTCGCCTGGCTCTGACGACAGCAGAATACTTCGCGCAGCTGGCCTTCAAGCTTCAAAGCCTGTATATTTGGTCGTCCTAAATGGGGGTGATTTTCTAGGGGGTATATGGGGGTTATATAGGGGTTATAGGCCTAAATCGGATAGAATTGGGGGCTTCCCAAAGTTAGGGGTACCTTTGCGGGGGGCCCAATAGTAAGGACTACAGTATTTTGGGGTCTATATTGGGGCTCCCCTTATCTACGGAAACTACCGTATATTTGTACATACATATCGAATCTGCATGGGTTTAGGTTTTAGGATTCAGGCTTTAGGGTTAGGGTTATATAATGTAGGGGTACCTTTGGGTTTGCAGAGGATTGTGGCATATGATCACGGGTGTCCTCCTTTGGAGTTGTAGAAGTGACCCCTAAGCCTTAAACCCTATACCCTAAACCATGGGGAACTTCAAGTTAAGGCAGAGGTGATGCCTGTCATAGTCCTTGTATAATCCCTTGTACCAGTACCTACATCCACTCTGCCACTGGCCCCCCAAGCCTAGGTTTTTCAAAGGATTTTGGGTGTCTGCTTGGGGGTTGAAACCAGAGGATCTACTAAAGACGATTCCCAGATTTCTCTAATCATTGCTGCTTGGACTCCTGACAGGTACTACTACTACAGCCGTCATTGTCGTGACAGCCTTTTCAGCTTCTTTCTGTTGGACGGCTCTCTTGTTGCTGCACAATCGCTAATCTTTCGGCCCTTGTCTTGCAAACTGAGTTGGGCGGTCCACAAGGCTAGCTTTCTTCGAGATAGCCGCGTACTAACTTTGGAAAAGCGATTCTGCAACAGTGAAACCTGTGTAGGCGTGCGTGCAGTGTACAGACTCTTGTAGCCAGGGCACCACTCATCGGGAGAATGCCCAGAAGGATGTACTTATCCAACAGGTTTTGTGAGAAGGCGGTGGCAGACCCTCTTGTAGTCTCGATGAATCTGCAACCCTAAGCCAAAAACTTACCTGAAGACCGCAAGATGCGGCTTGGAACCTCAGGTACACGCGCGAGCAGCACGCCGGGGAGCTCGGAAAGCAGTTGTCAAAAGTGGCGTCGGACGTGTGTGGCGGGTGGGCGAGTGTACAGAAAGCTGTTAGTGCTGTCATTGAGGGTTTCACAGCAGGCGGACTCTGATGAATGCGGCCTTCCTAGTACTTGCTCGTTTCAAGTCAGGGAATGCCTCTATGGATCCCTGCACGGGTTGGAAAGAACAGCTTAACTCATAGTTAGCATCGTGGTCTTGTTCTCCCTGTGCCCAGATAGGACTGCGAAGGCCTCTCCATCATGAGATGGTAGTGCACCTGTTTTTTAGCCGGGGCACGATCTGGCAGAAATCCTTCTGTGCCACATCAGGCCTAGACGAACCTTAGCTAACGTCACAAATCTGACCCCACACAGGATTAGTTAGGGTTGTCATTGAGCTCCTTTCTTGAGCCGACCTCATCCCCGACGCCTGAGCGCATCTCTGGGGAAACTGAAGGCCTCAACCTGAAGCCACATGGGCCCTTGAGATGCATTCGCGCTCAGGTCTTCGTGATCCTTACTGACATGAGCTCCTATGCTGATGCCCTCCGAGAGGCGGTTCATGTGGAAATTTCAGTGGCTTCGGCTTTAGACTCTTGAGTTAGGCTTAAAGGCTCAAGTAGTCGTAACTGCTTAGGGTGCAAGTTTTCCGTTCAGGATCAGGTTTGGGAGTTCAAGAGTTTTGGAATTCTAGCATGCTGCCTGCCTGGAAGGATGCTTTTACCTAAAGGAGGTGGTTGAAGGGTTTGAGGTCTCGGGGTTGAGGATTTAAGGTGTTGGAGCACTTGAGGTCCCCAGGATCGAGGGTCCAGGGTTGGTATTGCCGGGTCATGCAAACCCAAACCCTAAACCCTAAACTGGAGTTCCACAAAATCTCGCCTGGATTGCAAGTGGACGCCCAGGCAGATTCTAAATGCACAAGCCTGTCACGAACATTCTAAGTATACCCGCATGGGTATTTGGGGTCTCCTACTTACTATAGAAACCCCCAATAGACCCTTATAACCCTATGCAATCTCTATATTATGAACCTCAAATACACGCACCAGAGATTCCCCGCGTAAACAAGTTCGGATGTTCGGGGAACGAAATCTTTGAGGAACCCTCACAGATAGGTTTTAAGACAAACTGCTGGCTCAACACAAGAGATCCCAGTCAGTAATAGCTACCTCGCCCGCAGTTGCTTGTGCCCAATGTTGGGAGGTCTGCAAAAGTCATTGAGGGTCCTTATCAGAACAGGGGTTGAAGTGCATGTGGAGAGGACGCTGGTTCTGAGACCCACGCGGTTGTGGATGCAAGCAAGTGTTCACAGGCTGCCCGGAAACACCCTAGGTGTAGCCACTCGGTTGAAGCTCAGCACCAGAACTCAAGACCATGAATCCCAACACCCTCAGCTCTCCCAACAAACCCAATACAAAGCAGTTTCCATTTCACTTTCCATTTCATTACCCATTATAGTAGTTTCCATTTTATTTTCCGTTATCCCAATATAACCCCAATACATATACCCTATAATCCCTAATATAACCCCTATATAAACCCTATAATCCCTGTAGTTTCCATTTTCTTTTCCATTATCACAAGACTGCCATCCCAGGCCCTAAGCTCGAAGAATACACCCATTATCTTGGGGTTATATGGAAAATAAAATGGAAACTACTATAATGGGTTATATTGGGGTTATATTGGGGTTATATTGGGGTAATAACCTTCCTTGCCTGGATGGGAGAGGTGTCAGCCGCCCGAGAGGAGGTGCCAGGACGCCGAGGATATCCCGGCTACATGCGCCTGGCCATCAAGGGAAGTTTGGTCTGAGTAACCCAAAGCAACTTCAGGTGACCTCGACGGAAGGCTTGGTTTAGGTGGATCATGACCCCTAAAACGTTTTTTTGATATTTCATGTCAGCTGTTTCAACCACCCAAGACCCCCATGACAGTCATCTAGTAGTCAGTGGGTCCGCGTTTCAAGTGGTTTGAGGCTTGAGGTCGAGGATTTCCTGGTTCGGGGTTGGGGCAGGATGTCGGGAATTTTGTATAGTCAGGGATTAGCCAATTTGATGGCTACCTTTTGGGGATGTACAGGGTGCACAAGGGTTGATAGGGATAGTAAGCGTTGCGATTTCATGTTGTGCCGCTGGCAAACAAGGAAAGACGCTTGTTGTGACAGAGTGCTATGGCGATTTTAGTCCTTCAGCTGCTTCTGGTATTGATCCCTGAGTGGCTTTAAGACGCCTATATAAGTACTTACCAATAGTATTTGCCTGTCTAATTCCATATAATGTCCCAAAACCTTATTCGAAGTGATTAGACCCCAACCTTCGCTGGCCGGGTCTGGGGCTTCTTTGGGTCTGCCAATCCAGCAGTGGTTTTGACCGGGATTACGCTTTATGGGGTTCTGGGTTCCTGGAGAGTTTCCAGAAACTAGGGGTTCGAGTCCCATGCTAAGGGGTATCGCGTATTGGGGGTTATAAGGCTAAGCTCGTGGGTGGGTTGTGCTGGTTGTGCGATTGATTTTGTTTCCTAGGATGTGATTAGGACTGCCGGGGCCTGTTTCAGATATTGATGTGCAGCATTTGCCGGTGTTTCACAAGCCTTCAAGCGTCTCTGATCAGAGTCCCCAACGGGTTCTGCCTTATGCTGTTCAGATGTGGTTGCGACTTGAGCTATAGTCTCAACTCCTTAAGGGGGGGTTGTATAGGAAATTTTACAGGGGACTACTGGGGACTACTATAGAGGTTATTAAGGAGGATATGCGGAGTTTACACCATGGCTCACTTGAGTTTGAGAGAATTGCCGGTTGCTGGAAACCCAACCCAATACAAACCCGCTGATGATATAGTAGTCTCCATTTTCTTTTCCATTATCCTTATACAGCCCCCCAATAATAGTAGTTTCCTCCCAAGGTACACGGCCGGGAGCCCAAAGCTGTGACGGAGGGGTCTGGTTGTCGGAGGGTCTACGTGAATCACGTCTGATACTGGGTGATCAAGAATTGCCAAGATTATGGACCTAGTCTCACCCTAAACCCTAAAACCCAACACCCTAAGCCCCCAAATTGTATAATTACAGCAAGGGGCACTTCAAATTGACCTCAACATGGTATTGGAAACTACCGAGGCTCCTGCAGTAGGCTTTCGCAGGTTTCGGGTTTTGCGAAGGGAGCAGTCGTAGTTTAGCATAGTCCCTTGTTTTCTCCTTAAGAGGAACCCAATGTCCATTGTAATGATATTGGGAATGTTGACTGTCTGGAGCGAGGACCTGAAGTTTGCGTGATATACAGGAGACCTGAATCTTCAGACATACCCACATGTCTTTCGGTGAGCGCTCACTCGTTCTTGTCCACCCTCGCGCATCAACTCGAGTGACGAGAGAAAGTCTTGTGGCGAAGGAGCAGGGTCCAGTTTGTAGAGCTTACCTCGTAGAAGGGTATACACTGCATGTGTTGCTGGAAGAATACTTACCCACAAATCACCTACTTACCTCTCGTGAAAAGGAAACCTCATCCGCTAATCGAATAACCTTCATCTAGATCTCTCATGCTACGAAAATGGGGACATCAAGTATTCGGGAGATGAAGGGGCCTGGGTGCGGGAGTAAAGTCTGTTGTCAAATTTTTATGGGAAGTTTTTTTGGGGCAATAGGGCAATAGGTAGAATGGACAATCAAGCCGCATGAGCATGTGAGAAGCAGTGAAGGTTACAACCACTTGGCTCTTGCAACATTTTCGGTCTTATGGTCTCCTATGGCCCTTCATGAGCCGCGTAAAAGTTTCATGAAACTCTGCAACGCCCACTGCCCACATGCGCCCCACAGATTGCATGCACAATGCCTTCAAGACAAGATCCTGCGTAGCTCTCTTCAAGGACTTGTCCACCATCTACGAGCGGGCAGGCCGCGTCGAGGGCCGTACGGGCCTCAGGGAGAGATGGATTTGCCACAAGGTTTTCCGAACACCGGTATCCGTGTGGATCCAAGCAATGTTCACGGACTACGACGGACTTTGCAGCTCCGACCCCACTTCCAGATTTCCTAGCTCTTTCTTGAAAAGTTCACGGGTTCAGCCCTGCATTCTTCTGCCCTTCGTTGGACTTGTTTCGGTGTGCTTCTGCATTTTCAGCGGACACGAATGGGATGCGCTCGTAAAGTTGGCGCACACGGGTGGTGTCCGGCGTGCACATTTCTTGTGATACTCTTGTCATTGCTTGTTTTGAAGTCCTTGCCATGGGACTGACGGAAAGTCTGAGGATACTACCTTGAAGGTGTGGGCTATTTTGATCGAGCTCCTCGGGTGCCCTCATCCTTACGAAGCATCTACGTAATCAGGGCAGTTCACTCCTAACTACGGGCGAATCTACTACCTCCCATGCTAAGCTATCTCCCCATCCGCGTTCTTGATCTTGCAACTGGAAGGCGCAGTAGTGATCTACACAGCAGTGGGAGCCTGATCCTCAAACACAACCTGTGTATTCCATGACAACTGACGTTAGTTGCAGTTCACTTCTTGCTGGCCACTCAACCTCTTGGCCTTTGATCACTGACAATTCTGCTGCGTAGAGAAAAGCTAGAATTCTCACAAACTGAGAGCCCTAAACCAGTATTAAGAATGCTCCTAAAGCCTAAGCTTAAGCTCAGGCAACGGTTCGATTACCCAGTTCCCCATTTTGACCATGCCTAACGATGCGAGCGCCTGAGCTGTCCGCCTGTGATGCAGGGTTACGGTTTTGGGTCTAAGCAGGAAAACATTCAAGTTACAAGCATGTCAACTTATATCCCCTTACGTAGCTACGATTATAGATGATGCTGGCGTTCCGTAGTATGCTTACCTAGCTTTGGGTTGAGTTGTAGGGGTTTAGGTGATGGTGTCAAATAATAAACGTGTCGGGCGCCTGACAAAAATCCTACGCCCTATATACGTGGTGTTTTCAGTCACGAAGGAGGAGGGCACACAAAATTAAGCTTCTTCTGCCGAAGATCCTGCCCTTATTGTTGTACAGTGCAGATCTTGGTTTCTTTCTGGGAGTGACCTTTGTACTTGTGGACCATAATCTGTACCGAATTCGTATGAAGCCCCACGAATTCAAGCCGTATTGGGCCCCTCAGACTATCCAAGAATCTAAGGTCTGCTCATGTGGACCATCCCCCAAAATGGCACAACAGTCGAGGAGCAGGGGTCTTTAATGACTTGCAAACCTCATCCCATCCCGTGCGCACATGTGAATATCATTCTGTGAGCTACTGTTCTCAAGGGGCCCCTTAACAGTGTCCAGTAATTACATATTTGGGTCATATTGACTGTAGCTTGTAGATTGCAGATGATTTCAACATACCGAAGTACCTGCCTGGTGAATTGCGGTAAGCGCCTGTCTGCTCAGGATATCACACACCCGATTCCCGACCTGACTGGCTACATTACCGAGGGCCAGGCATCGGATTTTGGCCTGCAATAACCCACTCTCCTTAATGTGAACCCCCCCACCTCTCTTGACAACAGGGGGGGTTGAGGGGTTGTAATATGAGGGGGGGGATCTTGTCTGAAGAGTAAGGCCCGCCTGCGGTAGTTACTTACCCAGACAGGAACTACTTATGATGTTCCTTCGGAACCCTCAAGCGGTTGTCCAATGCAAAAGTGAGTACTCAAGGACCCACTTGCCGATTTTCGGCCCCAGCCCTAGCCCACCGTTATGGGGATTGCTGTTGAGGAACTTACATTAAATTACAAGCCCTATATTCATTGCAGTATATACACATATTCTGGTAACTGATTTCAAGTTCCTTAACAGCAACCCAGCTACGCTTTGTGGAAGGCCTCTACTTTGTTCTGGAGCATCTCTTAAAGCAACCAATGTTTTTTTAGTTTGCCTTCATGACATGGTCCACCTTAAGTAGATAGAATATGGGCTATATGGGGATCTTCTTATAATCTACCCAAAGCCATATTCTATCTACTCAAGGGGGAATAAAATTCCACCCTGACCCCCGAAGCCTATGGTTTTAGCAATGTCCGGCAATCTGCCCCAGTTTGGGTTTGTTGTTGGTGCCAGGGATTGGTGTGCAGTATGAGGCGGGAAGGATTCATCTCCAGGGGAAAGGCTGCACTGAAGTTGATAGTTTTGAGTGCCTTTGTTCTTGCATACGACAGGGACTGCACAGGGGAGTTTTACTGCTGTTCTTCCAGTTTCAGCCTTCTTCCTGCCTAACATGGAAGAACTCAGGGAAGCCTAAGGACCCAACGGGATTTGCATGGCAAAGTCTGTCAGGGACAAGGCTTCAGGTTCCAAGGTCTGGGTTTAGGGTTTAGGGCTTAGGGTTGAGAGTTTAGGGATTTAGACGCATTATGTTCTTTGTGACAAATGCATGTTGAGATTCATCCTCCCTTGATATGACCGTTTTTCCACGAAGCCCCTACCAAATGAGAATGTATACCCTATTCTGATATAATAATTTCCGGTTTGTTTTCCATTATCCCAATATAACCCCTACATAACCCCATTATGAATGCTCAGCAGCACATGGATTGTTTCTGGCACCTCAAACATGGGAAAGAGAAGTAACACAGACATCTGGCGGCAGCAGCTCCGACAGGATAGGGGTTATATAGGGTTTAGGGCCTAGGGTTTAGGGTTGGGGTACTATTGGGATAATGGTAAAGAACATGGCAATTACTGTAATGGGGTTACATATGGTGCATGCAGCATTTCCCAGACCCCCCAAAGGATGCAAACAATGGAACCCCGTATTAATCCCCTACGTTCCCCAATGCAGTAGTAGAGCCATTTTTTTGGGGGTTCCATCTTCTGGATCCTTTAGGGGGTCTGGGTTTGAAGCATCCACAAAGAAGAGTTGTCTTGCAACAGGCTTGCCGTGGGCATAGTTTTCACCAACAAAGCTAATGGACCCTCTTGCGCGAACCGCAGCCTCTATGAGAAGTCGCCGCTGGCACAATGCGGCAGACCCTACATCCCACCCACATACTCCAAACACCAGGATCCAAGCCCTACAGCGCTCGTTTCCAAATACTGGCACCTATAGATACCAAACCCTAAACCCCTAAACCCCTAAACCCTAAACCCCTAAACCCTAAACCCTAAACCCCTATAATTTCCAGCTGGCAGGTGTTCGTGGACCGATCCTTGCACAACAGGCAGATCTACCCACCCATCAATGTGTGGGTCTCGGGAGCTTTTGTTTTTGGGGGCTTATAGGGTGCAGATCTCGTACAGTGAGCCTCCGCCAAGCTAGCATTGGAGCCTGATGAGTTTTGCAATTGTTGTTTTCTTGTGGAATCGTAATCAGTTTCAGGGACGATTATCAGCAACTAGGTAGGACTACGGGGATTCATTTCTTCCATTTCTTACTTACCACCCGCGATCAAAGAAGACAAGCCGCATCGGGTTCGGGTGGGACCGTCGAAGCCAGGAAACATTTGAGGGGTTTCAAGTTGCGGCTTACACTCTGTGATTCAATGGGCTCTAACTTCCCAAACCCTAAGCTCTAAACCTTGAGGTATCAACCCTTATCTTACTGGTTGTTAGTAGGGAATAAGGAAATATATTCCCTTATTCCCTAGTAACAACCAATAAGTTATAGAGGCCAAAGCCCTGAAAGCTGGACCCCGAAGGCTTCAAGCCACAAGAGCGCAAAGCACCAGGTGCTCCCGTCGCTGAGCCGGTTGATGAAGTCCGGAATCGGAAAGGGCACCTCGCGCAGAAATGATGTCTTCGTACAGTTTGAGGAACAACTTGAGGGTTTCGTTTAGGGTAGAGAGTGTAGGCTTTGTCCCCCCCCCCACCCGCTGAGCCTTGTTGTAGAATAAGGCGTAGAATAACGTCCAAGTCGAGGACGCACAGGGCACCTGTAGCTCAAGATGCAAGTCTAGCATGTAGGAGGGTTTAGAGTTTAGAGCATTCAGGCTCAGGTCTTCGTGAGCTTGTCGTCATAATGGCTGAACCCGCCCACACGATGCTATTATCTAACGGATGGTCGTCTGACGCCGACCCACCGACCCCCATGTCCACGATTCCAACATAGAGGTTCCCCGTGATGTTGAACGCTAAGCCCCCCAGATCACCTAGAGCCCCTAAACCCCCAATCCCCTAAAGCCCCCAAGCCCTGAACCTTCTTTATGTGGCACTGCATTTCTGAGAGCCCCCATGGCATTGTGCCGGACACGTTTTTTTTTGGGTTAGAAGGATCCATGCCAGGGGAACTCGGAAGATCAGAGGTTCTAGCGTTTCTGAGAATGATGTTCACAGAGCCTATATAGGAGCATTGGGAGTAAGTCGTGCTTGCTTTTCTCTATGAAAATTATGGTCTAAACCCTAGCCTAAACCCTAAACCCTCAACCCTAAACCCTACTAGCAGAGGCATGACGCGTGACGACCATCCCAACGTGTCCGATCAGCTCTATGCCAACTATGCCATCGGCCAGGAGCTGTTGGGGGTTTCCATTATGGTTTAGGGTTTAGGGTTCTGGGTTGGTCTTGATATGGATAATGGAAGAGAAATGGAAGCTACTATAGTAAAATGGGGTATATATAAGGATTATTGGGGTTCTATAGGGATAGTGGAAAAGAAAATGGAAACTACTAGAGTATAATAGAGTATGTATATAGGCATTATTGGGGTTCTGTAGGGATAACGGAAAGGGAAATGGACACTACTATAGTATGATAGGGTGGAGGTTTCCCAAAATTAGGGTTTATAGGAGATATGTAGGGTTATATTGGGCTATATAGGGTTTAGGGTTTTGGGATGAGACATCAGGGTTTCCCAAACTTAGCGGTACTTTCCTGGCATCCCCACAACAAGGGCGATAGTAATTGACGGGCCTCCTATTTTCGGAAACTTCCATATCAACGGCCTCAGCACTTTTGTGGGATGGACGAAGACCGTCCATGTTCACTCGCCTAGCTGGAGTTGATACCTTTATCTAGAACTTTCCCATCAACTCGCGCGCCAAACAATAATTACGTAAATTTCTCAAATTATCCATCCGGAATCCTGGGGGGACGGCTGGACACCCGAGAGTAGCCAAACCTATGCTCCATTGCTGGGGCAGCAGGGACTGAAAGCACAGACCCAACAAGGGACCATCAGACCCCTAAACCCTAAACCCCAAACCCTAAACCCTAAACCTTAAACCGCACCTTACTCCTCTGAGAACCTCTCATGTGCCAGGACACCCGAGCCATGAAGGCAGTGGTTGGCGAAGAGGCTCAGTCCTTCTGTGGTGGGTTTGACTGGTCATACCGTGTTTCCATTTTCTTTTCCATTATCCCTATATAACCCCATTATACTATATAGTAGTGTCTATTTTCTTTTCCATTATCCCTATATATCCCCAACATGCTACTCATACCAGTACCCTCCCCAAAACGAGGGTTCAGGGTATAGGTTTGAGGCTATCAGGGGGTTGTCAAAATACTAGTCCCTTTCTGGGTTCGCCTTGTGCCCAGGAAGAGACCACCGGAATATAGCAAGATGTTGGGATGCATGGCGTTTTTTTGTGTATGGGGTATATACTCCGCCAAACTAGCATAAAGCCTTCTGTGAGAAGAGCAGCAAGGTGCTGGTTTATGTTTTTCAGAAGAGATGCCCATGTTTTGCAGTAGCTTAGATGTTAAGATTGGGCCATATTTGGCCCAATAACAACAAGAGCAAGACTGCTAAGTAATATGCTGGATATAGCTCGGATCCCCAATTTTCTGTGATGCATGGTATCTTCGTTGCGTGACCCTCCCTCCATGTACAGTCGCGCAGAAAAGTGTTTGGACATTCAGGTCAAGTAAACCTTTTCATCTGGATGGCGAACCTACATCGCTGGTTAACCTAAGCCTTGAGCGTCAGGACATCAGCAACCCCTTCACCTAGATACAGTCAAAGCATGAGCTGCACCTGAGAAGAAGCCCCCGCCATCAAGATCCCCTTGCAGCACCCTGCCGCCTCAACCTTTAAGGCTGCTGCGCGAAATACTTTTACACCTAGACGTGGCGCCGTGGTTCGGAGCCACGTACGTCCTAAGTTCTACACCAGGCCACAAACTCCCCAAAAAGAAGGCCGCTCTGTATACATACTCCCCGCAGCACCGCTGCTATTTACTACTGCTCCTTCTGCTGCTGCAGCTTCTACTACTGGGCGAACTTCTGGAAGTAATTGACGAGCATGAAGAAAATCCAGCCATTTCTATGGCCATGGACAGGCTCTGAGTGAAGACGAGCATGCCCGACGAGCTTACAGGGCCACAACAACGCCGACACTCGTAGGACATAGGAATTCGCCATATGGTTGCTCAGTGTCTAAGATTTGTGCTGGTTCAGGGTCTCATGCCGCTTTCAGTCTGCGGACAGCTTTATGTGGCCAGGGGCTCCAGGATTGAATCTTAACAGAACCACGAATAGAAAGAGAAATAGTAAGAGGAAGACTAATGGTAATAGTACTGGCAATTCTCATTCGAATAGTCCCTAAACCCTAGACCTTAAACC